GGAACGGATGCTGCCGCCATAGCCGGATGCTGGGGTGGATGCTGCCGCCATAGCCGGATGCTGCTGCCATAGCCGGATGCTGGCGTGGATGTTGTTGCCATAGCCGGATGCTGCTGCCATAGCCGGATGCTGGCACGGATGCTGCCGCCATAGCCGGATGCTGCCGCCATAGCCAGATGCTGCCGCCATAGCCAGATGCTGGCACGGATGCTGCCGCCATAGCCGGATGCTCGCGTGGATTCTCCCACCATAGCCGGATGCAGGCATGGACGCTGCCGCCATAGCCGGATGCTGGCGTGGCTGCCGCTGCCATGGCCGGGTGCTGGCGTGGATGCTGTTGCCATAGCCGGATGCTGCTGCCATAGCCGGATGCTGGCGTGGATGCTGCCGCCATAGCTGGATGCTGGCACGGATGCTGCCGTCATAGCCATAGCCGGGTGCTCACCTAAATAGTGGTAGGAGGTGTAGGTGGTCAAAGGTGACTTATTGTGATGTCGGCACTATGGAGGAGATTCAAAAATTTGATCCTAGTTCATTCCTCCTCCATTGTTATTGTGTTATTACCCCTTAGGGGGAGATTCTAACATTTGAATGGTTTGATTTCTAGTTGGACGGTACACGGTAGGGGTATATTGCAAAGATGGATGGGGGCCGAACGGACGCTAGGGGTATTTCACAAAAGAGTGTTCTTTGTCAGAGGGCATTCCGCTCTACCCACACCTCTTAGGGGCATTTCGGCATATATCTCAACTTATGGGGGGTATTTTAAAAATAATCCCTTAGTTTTATCATCATATTTCTCAAAGAAAAGTCTCAGACCTGTATCTGCTGCCCATGATGTGAGAAAAACAATGCTGCCCCTCGCCCACGTGCCTGCAAGCAGCACTGCTCACACGTTCCCTGCAACGGCAGCCTTACAGCGCGCATAGTCTGCTCCATTCCGCTGAACACGTCCAGGTGCGGCGTCGTCTTCTGCAGCGCCGCTGTGGAGATGGCCCCACAGGCCATCAGGCTCCTCCTCCTCACAGGCAAGCCTTTTTCTGTCACAGAGCTAGCTTTCCACTTTCCACTTCATATGTATATCTATATACATATAGACATGTAGATAAATGTGAGTGATGATGATACAGCCGCCCCGATGCAGTCCTGCAGCAAACAAGGCCACATCATCAATCATTAATCATTAATCATTAATCAGCAATCATCAATCAGCAATCAGCAATCAGCAATCATCGATCATCGATCATCAACCATCAAGCAAACAGAAACCAACCTCCTGAACTAAACAGCCAAGCCAAGCCCAGCCAAGCCAAGCCAAGGGCTGACCTAGGCTAAGGGGCAAGAGTCACACGAAGACTTTCGTGAGTTGACTGCACCTGGTTGTCATTTCAGTCAGATACATGCACTCTTCTGTTCTCTTATTGCGAGTATGTACATCGCTGCATGCATTCCCCAAAATGCATGCGGCTTTATTATTTCTCTATTTTTTGTAAACACGCATCAGATCATTGCTGGATATCACACTGAGACCCTCAGACCCCTCAGCTCCGATCCCGTTCAGAAGCCCCAGTCGTGAGAGAAAGCGGAGACCCGGAGGGAACGGCGGAAGGAGAGGGGGGGAGGGAGGAGGAGGGAAGGGAGAGGGGGGAGGGAGGGAGGAGGAGGAGGAGGAGGGAGAGGAGGGGGAGGAGGGGGAGGAGGGGATGCAGGACCAAAAGAGTAACATCGAATCCCCGCCTATCCTACCGTGTGCATTCTGCTTCTTTCTTTTCTTTTCTTTTTGCAAAAAAAACAATTCCGTACACCGATTGCTTTTCCACATTCTCTCTGGTTAAGGAAAGAACGCAGACGGATTCGATCAGGAACCTACTCTCTTTCAGGGGCATACCGCATTTACGGCCGGACCTGGACGTATCTGCCCGCAATTACGTCCAGAAATACGTAACAAAATGTCCTACCGGTAGAGCGAGTACGCCCTCACTCTGTGTCCATCACTGCGGTGAAGCGAGAAGAACTGAGGAGGAGGGAGGAAGAGGAGGGAGGAGAAGGACAGAGGAGAAGGGAGGGAGGAGAAGGGAGGATAGGGTATATAGCACCGCAGTGCATACCGGGATTTGACAAAAGCCAGAGGGGTTGAGAGAGGGAGAGGAGGGGGGGAGGGGGGGGAGAGGGAGAGAGAGCCTCGCTCCACTGCATAAAAGTCGAAATGTATCTGGAACTGATAATGGCCCAAGAACATTCCCAAGGTTGGATCAGTCCAAACGTATGTGGTCCGCTCTGCAGTTCACATACATGTAGACTGTTGAGTAGTGGAGCGAGGCCCAGGGTGGGGAGGGGGTGGATACGTAGAACGAGTGGGTGTAGGTAGAAAAGTAGAAACGAAACTTTGGCGGGAATGGGGGGGACCACAGAGGAAACCATGAATCTTTCCCGGGTCTCCCTTCCCGCCGTTTTTTCATTTCTGCGCGGGAAGGAAGCGACCCAAATTGAACGATAATTTTCTTGTCCTGGACTGGGCAGAAAAGAAAAAATTGGAAAAACAAAATCAACAAAACAACAGTTTGCTCCTCTTCCCCCTCCCCCCCCCCCCCCCCCCCCCCCCCCCCCCCCCCCCCCCCCCCCCCCCCCCCCCCGGCTTTCCGAATGCTTGCTTGCCTTCTTCTCTGTACCGTTCGCATGTTAACGCATGCCCTGGAGGGGGACACACAATCTCCCCCGCATACCGCCTTGAACCCAATAGAACGCACGGTCGTTGTAGGAGCTGTATTTGGCCCAACTTTCACTCTAGATACAGCGATAATGATGAAGACGGTACGCAGGGAACGCGAGATCACAAAACTGCAGCGGAGACGAATGCCCCCATGTGATGCTGTCACGCCTCTCTCTCTCTCTCTCTCTCTCTCTCTCTCTCTCTCTCTCTCTCTCTCTCTCTCTCTCTCTCTTAAATGCAGAGGAGACAAATGCCGCCGTGTGATGCTGTCACGCCTCTCTCTCTCTCTCTCTCTTTTAAATGCAGAGGAGACGAATGCCGCCGTGTGATGCTGTCACGCCTCTCTCTCTCTCTCTCTCTCTCTCTCTCTCTCTCTCTCTCTCTCTCTCTCTCTCTCTCTCTCTCTC